CACAGGCAGATCACTATGAGTCAGATCTGTGTAATAAGACCCTGTAGACCCTGTACTAAAACACACACCAAAAAAAAAAAAAAAAAAAAAAGAAAGAAAAAAGATTTGATTCACATTTAATCAAATCTGTGTGTGTGGAGCTCAAACCTCACAGGGGACACCTGCGAACGCCAGCACTTGGCTCAGGGCAAAGGCCTTGGGTGTGGAGCTCAGGCTGCGCGGCACTGTCTGAGCCACAGAGCTGTAGACACGCGAAGAGTGCACTCGCCTTCCTGTTCTCCAGGATGCCACCACTCCACCGCCTAATGAAAGCAACCTGAGGTACAGTTTCTGCAGTGTCACCAAAATATTAGTCACAAAGCGGCCCTAGATTCAACTTCTACAAGTGAACAAAGATGCTGGTCATATGGAAAAAATTACTTAATATGTGAAAAAAGCTGCAATCCTAGCTCCTCAGACTAAGCCTCATGGTCCATTGTGGTTTTTTGTTCTGGAGATCAAACTCAGGACCTTGTGCTCGCTAGGCAGGTGCTTACGCCACTGAGCTACCTCCCCAGCACCCTAAGCCTCAGGTTCCAAAGAAAAATCCATGAATGGATGCACAGCTAAAGACTGATATGTTGAAATTAATGGATAAAACCTTTAAAATAATTACTTAAAATGTTTTTTAAAAACTTGGTAAAAAAACGATGAAGGAAGTGTCTGAAGAATTGGAAAATGATGACAAATTTCTTCTTTCTTTCTCTCTTTCTTTTTTTGAGTTAGCATCCAGATCTGTGCCTAGGAGTGGGGTTCCTGGGGCATATGCTAATTCTGTGTTTAAATTCTTAAGGCACTGTCAAGCTTTCTTCCACAGTGACAAAGTGACTTTCCACTTCCACAAGCACTGCCTCACTGTTGCAGCTGCTCTGTATTCCTACAGGTATGTTCTGCTTTTAAATAGTAGGCACCAAAGTGGGTATGGTAGGTTTCAAATCATATATAAAATATATATAGAGAGAAATAAGATATGTAAAAATGGATGCATAAAAGGTGAGAGGAGCAAGACTTAAATGAACCCTTATGAGGTTCTTTGCTGTACCAAAACTAGGACAATAGTAATTTACAACAGACATTGGTAAGTTATGGACACTGTTATATGAACATGTAAAAAGTAGATAAAGCAGCTTTAGAGAAAAGAAAATTTGGGCCGACCAAATAGCTCAGTGGATTAAAGCACCTGCAAGCAGGCGCAGGGGGCAGGGTTCTAGCCTGCAGTGCCAGCCCCGGGGTGCGCTGAGACAGCAATGGAGACTGGGCGTGGTGGTGCCGCCTGTAATCCCAGCTCGTGGGAGGCTGTAAACAGGCAGATCACTAGTCCAGTCTATGCAGTGAGACCCTGTACACCCTGTCCTAAATGCGAAAAAGGAAAATTTGTACTTGTATCTCTAGATGACAAGATTATTTGTCTAGAAATCCAGAAAAATACAAAAACAGTATGTAAATTTAACAAAGGAAAGGGAAATATAGAAATGAATTTTATTTCTGTATATGAGCCACAAATAATTGAAAACAAATGCTAAACATTAACATTTGAAAATTTAAACTTAAAAACAGTATGTATAGTAGCATCAGAAAATATGAAACCCTTAGGAATAAACAAAAAAGTTGTGGAAACTATTTGCATTTAATACAAAGTTAATACAAAGCTACACATAGTCACACACGCGGCAATCCCAGCTCCTCAGGAGCCTGAAGCAGAACTACACGCTCAAGGTTAGGCTGAGCAACTCAGAGTCTATCTCAAAAAAACAAAAAAGGTCTTGGGTAGAATCCTCGCCTACTGTGCACAAGACCCAGAATTCAATTGCTAGCACTGGAAGGGAAATAGACTGACAGGGAGGGAGGAGGGATACATCAGGCTTGTGTATGAGCCTGAACAGGTGGGTGCAGCGGTAGGCGTTCGTCATCATGGTGCTTGGGAGGCTGAGGCAGGGAGACCCCAAGTTTGGACCTTGCTGGAAAATTTATGAAGACCTTGTCTCAAAGCAATTTTTAGAAAGCCTGAGAAACGCAGCTGTCAGCATTCTCAAATTGAGCTGTTGACTGGTTTGAATCCAATGCTAATTAAATTCCCAACAGCTTCTTTAAAAGTTCTAAGACAATTCTAAAAGATATTTGAAAACTCAAAGATTTAGAATAGGTGACAATGAAGCACCAAGTGAGAGGGTGCATTCTGAGACCACTGTTCACTGACAAGAGAGAGTTAACAGAACAAAGCACAAAACAGCTCTCCAGAGGTGTGTCCCACTGATGGGGGGATTAACTGGGCCGCTTGTAATGCCCAGCTGGACTGGGTCAGCGTGGCTCTGGCTGCGGATGGCCCACCAGCGTAAAGGGAGAACTGCAGAGGAAGATGGTGGTGGAGATTTTCCCGGACAAGCTGGTCCCTCTGACTTTCCTCATATGGTCAGCTGAAGTTCTTATCGCCCTCGCTGTCACTGAGGATGAATGAATGTGGTTCTTTCTGGGGAAGCTCCGGCCCTCATCTCGAGCGTTGCTTCCCGGCTCCAGTGCAGCCCCGCTGCCTGCTGGCACAGGCTTCCCAGCCTTCACCAGTACTGAGCTTTGGGCCTTCCCAGTGCAGGTCTTAGTACGGACTTACATGGGACATTGTCGTGGGTTCCAGCCCTCCAGCTGGACTTGTGTAGGACACTGCCATGGGATACAGGCTCTCGGCTAGATTTTCTGAGTCTCTTAACAGCTGGACAGACTTCCTGCACTCTTCTGCATTTGACTGTTTGGGTGAATATTATGAAATAATCCTATAAATTATGTGCCCTGTATTAAATTTAGCCCCTTGTGAACCTGACTACAAGAGGTAGTCGGTCAGGTGCTGAGAGCTGCACCTCCACACACGTGTGTAGAAGGAGGCCAGAAGGAGCTGGCCTGTCCCTCCCCATGTGAGCACACAGCTAGATGTTGCCACCACGGAAGCAGCTGCAGGGACGCAGCCTCGCCAGACCCCAAGGACTGGCATGGTGGTCGTGGACTTCCCAGCATCCAGAGGGTGAGCAGTTAGGTTTCTGTCCTTTATGAACTACCCCTGCTGAGGCTTTGGTTACAGCAGCACTAATTAAGACACTGTTTGCAAGAGCTGCCAAAACAAACTATAGAATATAGAATATGGAAGACTACTCTGTAATAATAACAAAAAACCCTACTGAGATATATATATATATATATTTTTTTTTCAATATTGATAAAACTTTAAAATACAGTGATTGGAAGAAGCCAGTATGAAGACCTTCTGTATTGTCCCAAACCAAATGTGCTGTGCTTGAAGTCATCATAGTGGTTGTGGAGGAGGTGGGGTGACTGCTGGGAGACAGGCACAGTGACCGAAAAGAGATGAAGGGATTTTCTGAAGGGACAGAAAATGTTTCTGGGGGCTGGTGAGATGGCTCAGTGGTCTAAAGCACCTACTTAGAACAAGCTAAGCTAAGCAAAGCA